TTTCGGACTTCTTATATTCTAAACTTTGACGTCAAAAATGCTTATTTTTTAGATTGGTACTCTCAATGATAGAATGAAGTGGGCTTTATTTGGTGAGCGACTTGGGGTTTGTATATTTGACTTGTCGATAACAAAAAAGTATTTGTTGAGAGCTCTAAATTTTCTTGCGCATGTTGCCTATCAAGGCGGGATAATTCTTTTTGTTACATCTGACAGGTAAGCACGTGGGAGCTTCTACCGTAATTTCTCTGCGACTTTACTGTCTTTGTATTTCTAGGCTTTTATTCTCTTCTATAAAATGGTATATATATAAGTGACATGGGCTTTTTTTTAGGGATAATATGTTTCAAATTGAAAAAATGGCTGAATCTGTTGGCGAGTATGCACATGTACGGAAGTGGATTGATGGGACTCTCACAAATATGAAATATTATGTGAAATACCCAGTTCGTATGCCAGATACTGTGGTAATGTTGTCCACACTAACTTCGGTATGCGTTACAACCGCCAAAAGTTTTTTTTCATTGAAGTGATACGGCATCAACATTTCAGTTTTGAAAGCCTGTATAGATTAAGTGTAGCAAACAGAATTTTTTGTAGGGATAAACTCATTCGTTTTTTGATTTCAGGTGCTTGAGACCCATCCTGCTGTAGTTGAAGCAGCGCAAATGGCAATTCCTACGATTGGTGTGGTAGATTCAAATTCTGATCCTTCTTACGTTACCTACGTAGTTCCAGGCAACGATGATTCAACTTCAAGTGTTTTGTACTTCATGAATCTTTTCGTAAAAGCCATAAAGTGTGGGAAGGAAGCTCGCGAGAATACATTGAAAAAGGCTGGAAGTTTGAAAAATCCTGCTACAGCTACTCATAAATGATTGTGTAATGGCTGTAAGCCTATAAGCTTTTGTTAGTGCCGAAGAAATGTTATAAGTTAGCCGGATTGGATGTTGCGTCGTATCAATGATCACTGACTGGTATTTTGATCTCAGTCACTAACAATTATGCTTACTTTTTTTAAAGATTGTTAGTTGTTGGGATAATACTTTGAACGTTATATACCCGCTGCGGCCGCTGTAATGTTAATCGTTTTCCTTTTTGTTATAATTGCAATTTGGTGCCATTTGATATTTTAGTCTGTACGTATTTTTGATAATAATCTTTGGTATAGGTAGTAGTAGAAATTCAGATCTGTAGATGACTTCTTTCATTAATGTGCTATTGTAGCAGAAGACGTATAAGGTCTTCCTAAATGACTCTGTTTTACTAATGTGATGCATATGCTGCTTCATTGTGGTTGCATTTCATTAAGCTACTTTTGCATCACAACTTTATAAATGACACTTTAAATTACTCTGATAAATGCTGGTAGCATAGGGCTGGGACGCATCAAAAAAAAAAAAAAA